CAACACATACTTCATTGCAACCTCTCTCAAAGACCACCAACGTGTTCTGTCATCACGGACTAATTCGTGCGAACCTGAACGCACTCCATTTCACACTGGGGTGCCACCTCTCGGGTTGTCTTTTTTGCCCCCAACAGCCAAGCTACAGGACTGCGCCGAACTTGGGCCTTCGGCGAGAGCCCTTGAGGAGCCGTCTGTTTGCGGCAACTTGGGCTGTGCTTGAGTGGGTCGCACTCATATGTACAAGCCCGCGGGCTTGGAGAAGCCTAGATCAAGAGATATGCAAATCTATTTCATATTCGCAAATGCTCGAGCATTGACTTAAGCAGCCAGAATCTGGGTCAATAGTATCATGAAGATTAGGCAAACGAGCAAGTTGCATCAAAACCAAGCATCCTCATCGCTACCATACGTCTAAATTGCTAGCCTTTGATTCAATTTCTTTAGACCCCTTACAGCCAATGCGGTGACCAAGCCCGCATTGCCAAACAGAATCCCATTCCCGTACCTGTATATCCACGAATCCTTACTCCACGAGCCGTCACTCTGCTGCGTCCGGCGGAGGATCTCGGCATCCTCCTCGTTCTCCAATCCAAGGGCCTGAGAGGCAGACAGCCGCAGCGCAGCACTCCAGGAGTCTACAAACTCGCCGGCCCGACCTCCAATGCGCTCGCGAAGCCTCTCCTTGAGGATAGAACGAAGCTCAACAAGCTCTGGGTGGTATTTCGCAGAGCTGCCAACACCATTTCCATTGCCATTGACATTTCCATTAATGTGGTCGGTCCCAGGGCAGTGCTTTGAGCACAGTTCGGCCAGGTAGAAGAAGAACCAGTCTGGGTGGTAGTAATACCGCATGCCGAACTCATAGGCACGGTTCCGGGTGATGGCTATGAGCTGCTGGACGGTGCGCTGGATCTGGTGGCCGCGATTATAGGCGTAGAAGAGACGAGTGATGTTGGCTGATATGACGGTATCTATGCGTGGTCGGGTTTTGTCAAAGTATGTCTAGTAATGTCGTTAATTCTGACTTGTGGAATAATCCGTATTTGTACAACGCAAACTGATTATACACTTACATAGAACAGTCCATCTTCGGTCTGGTTACCCAGCATTTCATCCATGACAGACTCTATCGTATCCTGAGGGATTTCTTCTCCCCTTGATAGCAATGCGAGAGTCGTGGTGTCCATGTCATCTGGATAGGTCTTCGTGGTCAGGACTGGCTCACCAACAAAAGTGTTCCATGTTCTCCGGTTAATGTCTGACATAGTGACAAGGTTACTGTGTGGCATAATGTCAGTTCTGGAACTCATAAACGAACACATTCGAGCAGGAATTCACTTACATGTCTTGAGTGATCTCCAGAAGAAGCAGCTGCGCAAACTGCTCATGGATCACGATGCCTGTGTTTGATACACTCCACATGTTCTTGGCGTTTTGTTGCAGCCAAGCATGGCCTCGGGCCACTGGGTCGCCAAATAGGTTCTTCAGCTGGCGGATGACATTCTGGGGATTGTCGCAGTGTATCCCGCGGATCCCAAGCATCTGCGCGGTAGCCAGGTTCTCAGGCTTGTCGTCGATGAACACTGCCCTCTCTGGATCTGTGTTCGTGGACTTGAGGATGCGTCGGTACATTTCCTGTTCAGGCTTCCGCACACCCAGCTCAAATGAGGTGAAGATGGCGTCGAAGATGCCCCATGATTTGACAGGTGGACCCAGGATCTTCCAGTCATCTTCAGTGATGTTGGTAGCAAGATAGACCTTCAAGTCACCGTCAGCCGCGTTTTTCAAGTACCGGATCAGGTCGATGAGGTCCTGGTCATAGGTGAGTGTGGCCGCGAGTTGTAACAGTGTCTTTTGGAGATTCTCCGGGGTGACTCCAAAGGACTTCTCGATTCGCTTGAAGCACTCTTCGCGCGCGAGCCGCCCACACTCATGTTGGAACCATTCCTCGCAGCTGAGAATATACTTCAGTTGAGAGGGGTCAACAGAGAGGCTGAGATTCTTGCTGGAGTAGTAGGCTAGCACATCTCCGAGGTCGAGGATGAGTGTCGTGTAAGTGAGGGGCTTCAACAGGGTATATCCCTCCTCCCAAGGAGAGTGAACCTCGGCGCCATTAGCGCCGTTCAGGGGTTTGTCCATAGCTTTGAGTCAGGGTTCGATAGCTTCAGCTGAATTAAATGGATTTAATTTCGACCATCTCACGGGCGGACTCTGCGACAATATTATATAAAGGCCGCCTAACATTAAAGTAACTTTCTGAGGTTATTGGTCCGGCCACTACTACCTTTTACAGTCAACTCGCATACGCAATGCAACCCCATGAACAGCTCATCCCCTATCTGGCCATGCGAATCCAAAGGTGGACTATGCATTGCTGCAATGCCAGGTTTGCTGGCTCTTCCTTTACATGTCTGAGAAGCGAGGATAGCGATCCTCTTCAAATGCTCGCCAATGAGAGCGCTACTACCTTGTCACCCGCAAATAAAAGTGGTTAGCCTCCATAATAGAATTCACTAATGGCATGCTGGTTTAACAAAAGATTCGTGATAAGCTAGCAAGTTCTGGGCTCTCAAGCCCATACATAGTACATTTGTAGCAAGGAGAGCTTGGCTATTTTCGCCAGTCGCGCCAGTCGCGCAAATATATCGTATCATGATATGCATTGGCAGGACCCCTGGGAAGGGGCTGCATACCGACGAACCGACTATAGGCTAGTGGAAAGCATAGGACAACTTGTAGGACAACCGACATGGCTAAGGACCTTTTTTTCATTCCAAGCTTTCCCGTCATTTGTCACAATATCCATGCGCATTGTTGCCCAGCTGCAGCTTCGTGTCCAGGATCCCAGTGCAGCTGATCTTGGAGACGCGCGTAGGATGGTGATAGGGCTCACCGCTTGTGACCGCTATGGAGTGGACCTTGGGCGGTCTCGAAGTTTGTCAGATAGGAACTGTCAAACTCGAGGCAGTCGTTAGTCTGATGGTGGCCAACGGGAACTGGATCCGTAAGCGACATTACTTGGGCTGGAGCCATTACCAAGCTCACGGAAGAACACCAGTTCGTTTTCATGGCAAGGGACCCCGGTGCTCCGCCACGTGGGTACTGCCACGTCGCGTAGGCAGCCAGGGCAGCATGAGCTTGTCCGCAGCCTATAGGCAAATAGAGGATGATCGTCCAGGAGAGGATCGAGGCCCGCTCCTCGGACGGAAGCCGCAAAAAAGTAAAAGCTTAAGCCCGGCTGAAACCTGCTCTTGGCTAACTGCTGTTACTTCACCAATATTAGCATCCCTCTTTACCACAAACAAATCCGGACACTTTCTGTAATACTCGTCGCCTACCTTGATATTCGCCGAAGACACGTTGTTCATTCTGAAGTTCCTCGAAGGCGGCATCCAAGTGAATTCGCGATTGTTAACGGAAACGGACTCCGTTTCCCCACTGCCGGGACTTGAGCCCCGCAGGCGGAAGGAATGATCCTTCGGCAATGAGAACAATGCCCCAATTTTAGTGACTCCTTTATTATTCAAAGACAGCAGTGTTGATAGTAGGATTATGAGTGTTATGGTTAGTTATGGGTCCGCCAGTACGGTATAAGATGATCAGACCCATTGTGCCGAAGGACTGCGTCAGCAGCCAACGTAAGGGAAAAGGTACCTAGGTATCAATCACAGGCCACAGGTTGGCCAAGAAACACCTCAGAGGAATGCCAATGCAGTAGGGGAGGGTAGATAATGTGACAGAGAAACCCGAACAGGCCAGAACAAGGATTCCTTGAGCTACACGTCGCGAATCGACTGGATGAGGTGTTCTTAGGGTCCGGCAGTACGTACCCGGGAAAGACAATGTCGTATCTCCATCATGTCCTCAGCAAAATTAAAGCGAGTATGCAAGGGACACTAATATAGTCGCTCGATCATGTAACACTAGATCACAACTCTCACGATCGTCTGCGTTGTATCCGGACCTGAGACCACCTGTGCCAAACACATACAAGACAAGGATGAAACTGTTTAGACACAGAGCAGCGATCCAGATATAATAGACAACCATGTCGTGTCGATAGAAATTGGGGTCTAAATATGCTTTTCCTAAAAGATTGTGGCGCCAGCGCATAATATCAGCAGCGGACGCTCGAAATGCAGGGCCATGTCGGGTATATCAGTGGTTGAAGCAGTAACCAATACGATTAATTAGGCTTATCGACCTCCCTCTTCATCCCAGCCATACGTAGCCAGCAGGATCGCCATCAAAGGACAGAAAATTAAGCACTAGTAAGAGCAGTACTTGATCTCACAATAGGCGATGAATGCAGGTACACGCTGACATATATTGTAGTGGAGCGTTTTGCGAAGATGTATGCAATAAGTCGTACAGACAGATCACGAGACGGAATTCGTAACACTACATGTCGATCAGCCTCAAAAGCATGCATCTTTGCCATAAGCTATACTAATGCTGTGTAACACAGAGAATTGCCATGCCGATTGGACTCGGCAGGACGCTGTAAGCAAGGCCACATGTTGGGATTGGCCGACGCTCCAACCTCTTGGCATATCTGACGACAAGCCATCTCTATTTTTGGGCAAACTCTTGAACGTAGAATTTGCTGAAAAATCAGTCCCCAAACGTACTTGTCAAAATGGAACACTTGATACCCATAGCTCTTTGCTTTGAAATTTTCCAATTGAGGACACAGCTGCCAAAGTAAGACTTGACTATAACTGCTATCTCAAAATATGATTTTCTCTAACAATCTTTGCAACTACACCCAGCTACCTATACATACCTTTACTACAAACGCCCATAGGGTCTCAGTCTAAACCAAAACCACTTAGCTGAAACTCACAGGATACTACTCTCAATCTTATTGCTTTCAAAAGCATATAGACGCCCTACAACTCAACCACAGGAGTATATAGTTCGTTACATTGCTGGTTGGCCACAGTAGGTGGGTCTAGAGCAAAAGGTAAGGTCGTAGTGAATTATTCAAAAAAGCTCGACGCCGGCATGATTCGAACATGCGCCTCCGAAGAGAATAGATAACCAGAATCCACACAAGATGCTTTCTAGTCTATCGCATTAGACCACTCTGCCACGGCGCCGGATGAAAACTTTGCCCGATTGACCAACTCATATTGAGTGTTGCCATACAAATCGTCAACACGTGGGCGACCTGGATATTAGGAGACCTCTTCATGATCCATAGTTGTTATGCATATCCAGAGACGGCAGCTTAGACTACAGGAAGGATCTGAATCGGTCGGTGACGTGAAGTGGCAGAGTCTCTCATTATAATCTGTTTCGACTATATTTATATTATTGACGTGGGAACGTTCATTACTGTGTGGCAGCTTTGAGCTGACCGTTGTGAGGCGTGAAGGTTATCTGTTCAGGTAGTAAACCCTAACCCGTATCCTTACCCCCCTAAGTCCCTGTCATGGTCGAGAAGCCCCCATCTTCACTCCATCAAGATGTCCATCTATGGGACTGAGGGGTCTCGAGAAATACGGGAGCAGATTGACGGGACATCATTTTCTGGCTGATCTGTAGGCGGTGGAAATGGTTCAGACATTCTCGGCACCAGCTCACCCATACTTCCCCCTGGATGCAGATATCCCGCATTACATCCCCAATGCCAGTTCTGTCCATGAGCTGCTCGCGAGATTCGCGAGTCTCCTGAGCATTACCATCTTCACAGCGCTATGGCTCGCGACACGCTTCAACTCTCAGCTGAGGACATCTGACAAGTTCATTTTCGGATGGTTCATTCTCTGTAAGTCTTCCATCCCATTGTTTGTTCTGGGGCCAGCTAGATTCTCGAGCTAACATGGCAATGAAGGTGGCTCTCTCCACTGCTTCTTCGAAGGTACAGGCCCAAGGTTGAAACCCACAATGATCTAAACAGAATGTTCTGACACAAAAGCCCGGAATTAACAGGGTATTTTGTTCTGAACCACGCCAAACTCGCAAGCTCAAACGACCTCTTCGCCCAGCTGTGGAAGGAGTACGCCTTGTCGGACTCGAGATACCTGACTTCGGACCCCTTCATGATCTGCGTGGAGACAATCACAGCAGTATGCTACATTTTCCAGACCCATGTGATCTGTCCATATCCCATAACTGACAGGTGGCACAACTCAACAGACAGCATGGGGTCCGCTATGCTTCGTGACGGCGGTGTCCGTCTCCCGCGGCGGAAGCCTCCGGTATATCCTGCAGGTCATCGTGAGCATGGCTCACCTTTACGGTGTGGCCCTTTACTACTCGACCTGCTACGTAAATGAGAGGTACAAAGGTCTCGTTTACAGCCGGCCTGAATTCCTGTATTTCTGGGTCTACTACGTTGGGTTCAATGCACCCTGGGTGATCGCTCCTGCTGGTAAGTCTCGCGGAGCCTACTCGTCTGTATTCTGTGAAGTGGCTGCAAGGTGCTGACCTGAATGCTTCCCCCAAGGCATCCTCATACACAGCGTGAGGGTCATTCAACGCAGTGCTGTTGCCATCACCAAGGCTGCCGCGACTTTGGACAGAAGAAGCCACGAAACCCAATCGGGTGCTCATTAAGACAGTTTGGCTCTATCCTTTCATTGTATTTACTTGAATTTATGCCGCTCAACGCCTCTAAATATGGCCACGTATTGACGAGCTTGGAAAGGCTGACTTCATGTATCAAATCGCAAATCGACTTGAACAGACCATGCCCGACTTCTAGCAGAATTTCCTGCTGAGACGGGCCGTCCAAGACTCAGCTCACAACCCGTGATGAACTCGTCGTAGATCAGACCCAGACCACGCGGCTCCCAGAAGGCTCATCGTTGCCAGGGCGCAATCCTCTATTGCATATTGAAAACGGATTTGTCGTCTCCCGTCCATCAAACCCCTAAAGTCCCCAACCCACTACCTCACATACTTGCTCATGAACCGCTTGTGGAAGTCACTCCTCAGCAGGTCATTCACAAACTCCTTGCTCTTGTTCTTGTCCTCCGTGCCCCTCGCCTGGTTCTTGAACACGACGTCGTCGTCCCACCTCCTCTTGACGGTGAAATCGGTCTTTGCGCCGCCGCCGTTGTTGTTCAGCAGCGGGTTCCCCCTCGCAATCTCCTTCTCGCGCTGCTCCGCCTCCGCGGCGGCCTTCTCCCGCTCCTCCCGCTCGCGCTTCTCCTGCCTCTCGCGCTTGACCCGCTCCAGCTCCCGCTGCAGCTCTGCCTCCTCGTCGTCGCTGTCCGAGTCGCTATCCGACGAGTCGTCGTCATCGTCGTCGTCTTTCTCCGAGGAGGACGAGTCCGAGTCGTCTGCGTCGATGTCCCGCGTTTCCTCTATTATCCGCCGCCGTTTTGCCTCCGGCTCTTCCTCGTCGTCCACTGCTGTGGAGCCGGCTTCGAGGGCGCGCTTGGCGCTCTGGCTGGCGGGCGTGGGCTCGGAGCTCTCGTCGTCGTTGGTGCTTGATTGGAGTTGGCCGCCGGACAGCTTGGCGTGGTGTGCCTGCTCTGCGGCTAGGAGTTCTGCGCGCAGGTCACGGGTGTCGTGGTCGGCATTACCGCCTTGGCCTGGTTTTCTACGAGTGGGAGTCAGTCGGGCAAGACTGGGGCAGAAGAACGGCCTGTGTATGTGAGCTTACCGGAACTTGAGTTGGGTGTGTGCTGGCAGGAGACGCTGATGGTAGGCTGGGCCGCGGAGGGTGTCCTTGCCACGAGCGGGATCGAAAGTCGGTCTGTGGGCGGTAGTCATTTTGGCAGCCGGTCAACTAAAAGTGACGGTTGTAGGAGGATGAGCTTGGGTTGCGACACTGAACTTGGAGTTGTTGATGGTTGTCTTTCAAGGTTGCAGTCGCGCGGCCGGCCGAACTCTGGGTTCCTGAGACCCCTGCAGTGCAACCCTGGAAATTGAAAGTCCCACCGCCTAGCGGCAGAACGTGCTTTGGCCGCCGCGATGAGATCACCCCGGCCCAAAACTTTCTGCAGATGCAAAGCAGCCGCTCAAAGCTTCGACACTCGCTGCCGCCTCAGGTATGAGAGGTATTACCTGAAGGACTCTGGCCCAGCACGGATTCAAGATGCCCCGTGAAGCAGAACCCTCCCTCAACGAGAAGGCGTTTGTCACGCAAGCCCTTCAAGAAAACCTGCGGCTCGACAACCGCGCCTTCGACGACTACCGGCCAATCGAGCTCAGCTTTGGTGACGAGTATGGCGCCGCCGAGGTGAGGCTCGGCAAGACGAGGTAAGATGGCTGCTTCGCCCGCCTGGACCCCCCACATTCCGAACAGAGCGCCGCCTGATTCCAATTGTTTCACCCAGAGTCCTGGCCAGAACCTCCGCCGAGGTCACAGTCCCCTACCCCGACCGCCCCTTCGACGGCGTCTTCAACATCGTGACCGAGCTCAGCCCCATGGCCTCCCCAGCCTTCGAGGTCAACCGCCCCACCGAGACCGAGGTCCTCCTCTCGCGGACGCTGGAGAAGACGGTGCGGCGGTCGGGCGCCCTGGACGTGGAGTCGCTGTGCCTGGTGGCGGGGCAGAAGGTGTGGTCGATCCGCCTGGACCTGCACGTCCTGTCGCACGACGGCAACCTGGTCGACGCGGCGTGCCTGGCCGTGGTGGCGTCGCTGCGAAACTTCCGCAAGCCCGACACCAGCATGGAGGGCGAGGTGCTGACCGTCTACACGCCCGCGGAGAGGGAGCCCGTCCCTCTGAGCTGGCTGCACTCCCCTTACTGCGTCACCTTCAGCTTCTACGGGGACGAGGGCGAGACCACGCTGGTGGACGCCGACTGGACCGAGGAGCAGGTGCGCGTCGGCAGCTGCACCATCAGCCTCAACAGGCACGGCGAGATATGCCAGGTCGCGAAGCTCGGGGGCACGCCGGTCGACGCGGTGGCGCTGCTGCAGTGCGCGAGTGTCGCGCTGACCAAGGCGAAGGAGTTCTCGACCCTGGTGGACCAGAAGCTCGCGGAGGACGCCAAGAGCAGAGACAAGGGAGGATTGCTAGCGGAGCTATCGGCAGAAAATGACAGGCAGGTTGAGGTTTAGACAAAAATCGTGATACCCCTTGAATTCCCTTGGCTATGCAACCCAGTAATCGCTGGTATGAGAAAGAGCTCTATAACCGGCTTACCACCCATGAGCTTGTGTGGAATCCAACCTGCAACGCCTAAACTCCATGTCCCTAGACAGTCCTCTCTGTACATGTAATATTCCGAGGCCGTCACCATCTCACCGCATCACAGGCGGTCTGGACTCCTTGTTCCACTTCACCCGTGACCGCACCCACTCTATCGCCTCCCTCACGCCGGTCCCCGTCAGCGCCGAGACAGGGAGCACCCGCGAGTCCCGAATGCTGCTCGCCTTCTCGCCCTCAAAGACCTTCTTGACCAGGCCCTCCTTGATGCGCACGACCTCGACGCAGTCCTCCCTGTCCTGCTTGTTGGCCAGTATGAGCAGCGGCACGCCCTCCGTCTCGCTGTTCTGCAGGACGTCCTCGAGCACGAGGCGGCACTCGTCCAGGCGGCCGGTCTGGTCGTGGTCGAGCCGGCCGTCGCCGATGTCTGTGCTGTCGATGATGAAGATGATGGCGTGGCACGAGGCGTAGTAGCTCTGCCACAGCTTGCGCAGCGACATCTGCCCGCCCACGTCCCACAGCTTCACGTACATGTCCGGCAGGGAGATGGTCGACACGTTCTGGCCGACGGTCGGGACCGTGTTGAGCTTGGGCTCCGGGGCGTCGGGCAGGAAGAGGGCCTTGACCTGCTCGTGGAAGGTGGTCTTGCCGGCATTGTCGAGGCCAAGGAGGATCACGGAGTATTCTACACGACGGAGGGAACAGGTTAGCTGGCTGCAAGGGCAGGGGGCATAGGTTCGTTGGTAAATGTCGTTGGCGTTGTTGATTAATATTTACCTTCTTTGCTGGTCGCCAGCAGGTAGAGACCTTTGGCGAGGTGATACATTGTTGTAATCTGAGGTCCTCCGGGGACCACAGTCTGATGCCAGACGATTGATCGCGGGATGGGGATGATGCAGGGTGCCAGGGCAGATGCAGCAACCTGTCACTGAAGAGGCTCAGCGCGGGGTGCTCTGAGCGCGGACAGGGGGTACGGTCTACCCACCAGAT